TTTATGCAAATTTTTCTCGTTTAATAATTTTACTATTATAGTACGTTTACATTGTACCGGATTTAGTTAACCGAGTAGGTTTTAATTGTCAATTCCTTTGGGTATTTGTCAAATAAATCCTCATAAAAGAGGTTAACCCTGCAAAAAGTTCTAATGTACATGACGTTTTATATTCTAATTACTCTTCCAAAAAAAGGTGTCCAATCGTTGTGTTTATTGTCAATTTAAAATTATGTCAATTCATGCCATGTGAACTATACTCAATTGGCACAATCGAAAATATTCCTACAGGGACACTTTTGCAACACAGAGTTAATTTTCATTGGCAATTTCAATAAATTTGTTTTAGATGTTTTAACACAAATTTTTCTTTTAAAAACTACATTTAATTTCAAAAAAATATATGTTTAGTAATAAAAAAATGTTTATTTATAAGAAAAAGAAAATAAAACACAATTGTCAATAATCATTAACAAAAAATCATTATCAATAATCATAACCCATAACAAAAACCAAAATTATTGGAATTCTATTTAACAAAAATATATATTATAATAAGCTAGAAATCCAAATTCAAACCCCCTCCTACCCCAAACAAAAAAGTAAAAAATAATAATAATAATTAAAATATTATTATAATATATAATAATAAATAATGGTAAATTGAGTAATTGAGAATGCTTAGCTTTGTGTTAAATTTGCTGTTAAATGTAAAACCAAATATAAATTATAAATGAAAAAAAAACATAAATAATTATTGTAATAATAACATATGTTAATATTGATTGAAAACAAGAAAATGATATTATTATTAAAAACCAATTGACATTTACAGAAAACAAAAACAAGAATGCATAAACAACAACTGTAATGGTATGATAATGTGGAAAACCAAGAAAGAAAAAAACAAAAACAACAGTAATAAATAAATGAAAAAACAATTATAATTTTAAAAAAAAGTAACAACTGACAAACTATACAAGAACAACAACAAAAAACCGAAAGAAAAAAAATAAATAAAAATAATTAAAAAAAAACATTGGTGTCTTATTTTTTAGGGTCGTACTTGCAATAAATTTAATAAAACGGGTCATTTGGATAGCCAGATGTTGCAGCAAGGTAAATTTATTAAGGTAAGGATGCATCAGCTGTTGGATGAACGAGCTGTCAAAAAATGCAAGTTATAAAGATGTTTTTATAATGAATGAATGATATTAATGTAATGAGGTATATATTTATCCATATTATGACTTCCGTTTTAATAAAGTGCGCATTAATTTCTAAATAAAATAGTTTATTCTATTTCATATATTTTATCCTTTATATACATGTCAAATAAATTACAATTTCCATTAAACGCGTTCGATGTAAATGTACACTCATCTTTGGCAAGCAGTCACTGAACATACCCTTTATGCAATGTACTATAAAGGTGAGCACGTACCATGGTACAATAACATATGGACAAGCTTTCACTGAACATACCCTTTATTAAATGAACTATAAAGGCCGGGTACAATAACACATGGGAAGCTTTCACTGAACGTACCCTTTATTCAGAGTACTATAAAGGCGAGTACATTCCATGATACAATAACACAAGGTAGGGCAACTTGTGATGAATAAGAAAAAAAGGAACTATGTAGGTAGTGGCTTCTTCTGTCAAATATAAAGAAACGTAAGTAACAAATCGGTTTCTTTATTTGACACAAAACTTAAAACGCGAAAATTAAATGGAAGTTTACAAAATTCCCTAGGGAATACCATGAAATGGTGTGGAATTTTAAAAGTACAATTTTGAAAGTCTATACAAGGCGTGGATTTTTTAAAGTACATTTTTGAAAGTCTATACAAGGCGTGGATTTTTTAAAGTACATTTTTGAAAGTCTATACAAGGCGTGGAATTTTTTCAAGTACATTTTTGAAAGTCTATACAAGGCGTGGATTTTTGAAAGTCTATACAAGGCGAGGATGTTTTAAAGTACATTTTTGAAAGTCTATACAAGGCGTGGATTTTTGAAAGTCTATACAAGGCGTGGATTTTTTAAAGTGTTTTTCAAAGTCTACACAAAGCGTGGATTTTTTAAACAAGTGTTTTTGAAGGTCCACACAAAGCGTGGATTTTTTAAAGAAGAGTTTTTAAGGTCTACACAAAGCGTGGATTTTAAAGAAGAGTTTTTAAGGTCTACACAAAGCGTGGATTTTAAAGAAGAGTTTTTAAGGCCTACACAAAGCGTGGATTTTTAAAGAATTGTTTTTCAAGGTCTAATAATATAATTGTTAAAGCTATTAGAAAAGCTTGAATTTTTAAAAGAATAATTTGAAGGCTATTAGAAAAGCTTGAATTTTTAAAAGAATAATTTGAAGGCTATTAGAAAAGCGTAGATTTTTTTAAAGAATAATTTGAAGGCTATTAGAAAAACGTGGATATTCTCTGCGATATTTTTCAAAGACCCAACGAAGTGCCGATTTTTTAAAGAAGATTTTTTATACTATTAGAAAAGACTGGATATTTTTTAAGGCTATTAAAAAAACGTTGATATTATAAAAGATATTTTCTGAAGGTCCCGCAGAAGTGTCGTTTTTTTAGAGAACAGTTTTTAAGACTATTATAGAAGCATTGACATTACAATAGATATGTTTTTTCAAGATACAACAGAAGTTTCGATTTTTTAAATAATATTTTTCAAGGTTATTAAAAAGGCTTGAATTTTATAAGAGATATTTTTCAGGGTTGCACAAAAGGGTGGGTTTTTTTATAAAATATTTTTTCATATTATTAGAAAATGTTAGATATTTTATAATAGGATCCTAAGAATTATGAATTTTTTAACGAATATTTTTAAGGCTATATGAAAAGCGTGGATATTATAAGAGATGCTTTTTTATTTCCACAGAAGTGTCATTCTTTTTGCAAAGATTCCATAAATGTGTCGATTTTTTAAAGAATGCTATTACCGGAGGGAAATATTTTTCCAGATCCCACAGAATCATTGCTTTTCTTGGCAAAAGATTTCCTTTTTCCCACAAAAACGTTGATCTCTTCAAAACTATATTTTCAATGCCATTAATGAAACCTGGACATTTTAATTTTGTTTTTGGGATCCATATGAAATGGTGATTATGTAGTGTTCATAAAGAGTATATAATGTATCTTGGCATAATTTTATAGGGTCATATGTTTCTGAATTGTTTATAATTTTAATTTTGACAAAATCGATCTTTCTGAATTTGAATGGAAATACATTTTTTCGGAATGTACTTACATCATGTGTTCAGTTTTTTATATTTTAAACCCACTGCCTCTATAATCTTTAAATATAAGTTGTAATACCAATAGGTATATCTTGAGAACAATGAACATCAAACAATTAACATATTCACTATATAGACTTTTATTGACCACAAGTCCTGATTAATATATATGTTTGTCTGTATAAAGATTTGTCCATCATAAAATACATAAAAGCTTTAGAAAATATATATTATTTTTTAAAATGTGGCAATCGACGTACATAAAATTTTATGGAATTTATTTTTTATTTTATTTCCAATTTATATATGAGTTTCAAATTAAAAATAGATATCATTATTAATTTCTCATATGAGACTATCTTCCATAATTATTCCATGGTAATGTATATGTAGTGTGTATAACATCAGAATTATGTTATCCTAATTGATGTGTTGGGATAACTCTGACATTTTCTAACTCCCTATCATTTTTAAATACTTTGTAAAAACAGCCCTACCCTATTTTACTTATTAACTTTAACTGAACATACCTTTTATTTTTGTACCATGTGAACACAGCTGTTTTCTGTTGTAAGAACATAAAAAGTTCGCACTGAACATACCTCAAAGCAAAGTAACCATTCATGAATGCATTTGTGACTAATATAGGCAGTTAACTGTTAGTTATCACTGAACATACTCACCATAGTAATTACGGTATTTTTGGCAGATAATATTTACTGCACAGTTCTGTGTGAGTCATGATGTTTATAATTACAACAACGATTTAATATCGACAATCTTTTTCACTAAACGACCCCATTTCTTTTCTCAAATGGAACTCTTTAAATTTACTTTCAACATTATTCTTCTATGGGACTGATTTAAACAATTGTTCTTGAGCACTGAACATACTCCCCATAGAACATTGTTAACAGTTCGGTGAACGGCATTTTAATAGAGGATACTTTGTAGTTTGACGTTTGTGATAACAAATCTCTTCACTGAACAATCCTTTACCTTTTACCATTATTTTTCTATATGACTAATTTAAACTATTGTTAGTTAGCACTGAACATACCCCCCTTGTACGTTGATCGTGTTTGACAGGCAGTTCTGTGAGCCGCATTTTAATAGATAATACTTTATGATGACAAATCTCGTCACTGAACGACCCCATCAGTTCGTTTCTCAAAAGGAACACTTTAAATTTATTTCATCAGTTAAATTTTTCTATTGAGCACTTCTATAAACACTATTTTATCCATTTATTCGTTTTTCTATCTTGTTGCTGCAGATAGAAGAATTATTTGGCCACAAAACGCCACACAAAATCTATAAACACTTTAATTAACTGACAACTCTATTGTTGACGGCGTTAACCTCACATGGCTTTGATGTCACACACTCACAACAGCTTTTTACTTCCTTCCCCATTTCAATCCAACCACCTATTTTGCTTTCTTCACATTCGTAAACACAAAAACAAGACTATATTTTTTGCTTTGCAATCAGCTTTATCACCCATTACTTCTTCGCCTGCATATTCGTAACGTTTGGAACGCTTTTATACATGGTCGGTTCACTGAGAAACCCAAGTAAATCTTGTTCACTCTGAACGGATCGAAACGTTCTTTCGTGCACATGTCACGACCGGAACGTTGAAAAAAAGCCAGAAAATTATTAAATAAAACTAGAGTAAAATACGAAACGAAATATACGAACATAGCCAAAGGATTATTAATAAAAAAAACCAAACCAAGAACAAAATGAAACAGGAATTAAGTGATAAACGTGATTTACGGCCATTCGTTTATGGTGGACTAGCATCTATTATTGCGGAATTTGGTAAGTGAATATCTATTATCTGTGTGTGTTCTTAACAAATATATGTAAACGAAAATCATTGCATTTATAGAATAATTTAACAAAGAATCTGCATGACGCAACATCCTGGGAAATAATGGTAATTATTTTTTTATGGAAGTAACTGATGCAGACAATATGGAGATGTCTCCTAGTAGTGTAGGCCTTCTTGTGTAATTCCCATGGCAATATCGGGGAGCGGTAGTAGAAATCGGAATGTAAACACACAGATTTGTTGTTGCCATTGATTGGGTGGTTTAATGTTCAAATTCATAATAACTAAAGATGGAGGTGGCGGCGGGGAGCAGAATATTTTTGCAATCATTCCGGCAGTCAACCCTCTAGCCAGCCATGTGAATGTCGTTGTCGTCGTCTCGTGTTTGTTCTTATCACTTGATTGTTGTTTTTTGTCGTCCGAAAAAAACATACATATTTGTTGTCATGATTTATTACAAAGCGGCAGCGGCAACGGCGGGTATTATTGTCTTTGTTTGCATTTTCAATTAATGTACCCACGTAGATACATCTTCACCTAGGTGGAATTTGTTTACATATACTGCACAGATTGTAAAATTCCGGCAAATTAGGTATATAGTACATTTTATCTATTTTTCGTGAAAGTAATTTTTTTTATATAATAATTTATTTGTTGTTGCATAGAAATGAAATTGATGTTTTCTGTTTTCTTGTTTCTCTTCTAATTTTTAGGCACCTTTCCAATTGACACAACAAAAACCCGCCTACAAATCCAAGGTCAGAAACATGATAAAACATTTTCCCAGCTACGTTATCGTGGCATGACAGATGCCATGATTAAAATAAGTCGCGAGGAGGGATTAAAGGCATTATATTCAGGGTAAGTAGTAAATTTAGAAAAAATAGCAAGTTTAAATACTATAATGTATTTTAGATAGATGTATAGACGTTGCCTGTATTATGATAGTACTTAGCCCAACAAGGCTTGGATTTTTTAAAGTATACTTTTTTAAAAGGCCCAACAAGGCGTGGATATTTAAAAGAATATTTTTTGAAAGGATCAACAATAATTTAAAAAAAATTTTAGACTTTAAATTGTGCATTTTTAGGAAACATATGGCCTTTTCGAAACCTATTTCAAAACTACTTCATGGAGGGATTATTTTCGAATATTGTTTTATTAAGCAAGCCCCATCAGGGTAAAATATTGAGACGAATTTGTAAAAAAAACCTCGAAATATTCACATATAGGTCCACTATACTCATATATATGACGCTAGAAGCCCACTGTACTCATACATATGACGCTAGGGGCCCACTGTGGCCCTCTATGCAACTATAGAGAACCACTGTTGTCCTCTATATGACAATAAAGGTCCACTGTGGCCGTTTATATGACGACAGATGTCCACTGTGACCATAGAAATGAAGATGTATGCCCACTGTGGCCATCCATATGACAATAGAGGTCATCCATATGACGTTAGAGACCCACTGTGGTCATCAAAATGACGATAGAGGCCCACTGTGCCCTCCAATCTAACTATAGAGAACCACTGTGGTCCTCTTGACCATTTATATTACGACAGATGCCCACTGTGACCATATGAATTATGGTAGATGCCCACTATGACATTAGAAATGAAGATATATGCCGACTGTGACGCTCTACATGACAATAGAAGCCCACTGTGGCCATCCATAGCATGGTAGAGACCCAATATGACGATAGAGGACCACTGTTCCCATCCATATGAAGATAGAGGCCCCTGCGGCCCAATATATGACAATAAAAGTCCTCTGTGTCCGTCTATATGACAATAGAGTTCCATTGTGACCCTCTGTGTAACGATAGAGGCCTCTATATGACAATAAAGGTTCACTCTGAACATGTACATGGCTACAGATGCCAACTTTGGCCATCAAAATGACGATATATGCCCACTGTGACCTCAAAATGATAGAGTCCATATGACAATGGGCCCCACTGTGACCAACTATATGACGATAGACGCCCACCCTGGCATCCCTGCAAAAAATGATCAATATTGGCTTACTTTCTAGGGTAGCCCCCATACAAATATGTCTCGAAAATATCGGTATTTTGGGGATTTGCAGTGAGGGATAAAAGCGAATTGGCTGTAATTTGGTATTTTGGATTCTCTTTGGGTAGTAAAACTTCCTACCAAAAATTATGAAAATCGGTCCTCTTTTTAAGGTAACCTCTATATAATCCAGTCTCCAAAATATCGATATTTTGGGGATTTGCATCACTTTTTTTAACTAAATTGGATGTAATTTGGTATTTGGAATTGCCATTGGGTATTAAATCTTCCTACCAAAAATTATGAAAATCGGTCCTCTTTTTAAGGTAACCTCCATATAACCCTATCTCCCAAATATCGATATTTTGGAGATTTGGATAAATTTTTTTCAACTGAATTGACTGTAATTCCGTATTTGGAATTTTCATTGGGTAGTAAAACATTCTTCCAAAAATTATGAAAATTGGCCAACTTTTTAGGGTACCTCCCATATAACCGAACCTCAAAAATAACGATATTTTGGGGATTTGTATAACTTTTTTCAACCAAATTGGCTGTAATTTGGTGTTTTGGTTTATTGATGGGTAGCAAATCTCTCTACCAAAAATTATTAATATTGGTCAGCTTTTTAGGGAAGTCCCCTTATAACAGTACCTCCAAAATTTCGATATTTTGGGGATTTGGATCACTTTTTTTAACTGAATAGGCTGTTATTTAGTATTTTGGATTCGCATTGTGTGACAAATCTTCCTACCAACAATTTTAAATATTGGTCCATTTTTCATGGTAGGCCCCATATAACAGTACCTCCAAAATTTCGATTTTTTGGGGATTTGGATGACTTTTTTTTAAACTAATTTGACTGTAATTTGGTATTTTAGTTTCTCTTTGGTAGTATCAATATTGGTCCACTTTTCATGGTACCTCCCATATTACCGAACCTCAAAAATTTCGATATTTTGTCGATTTAAAGTGCGGGCTTCAACCGCATTGGCTGTAATTAGGTATTTTGGGTTCTCAACCGGTAGTATATATTTCTAACAAAAAATTATGGAAATTAGTCCACTTTTTAGGGTACCCCCCATATAAAGATAATTCCCAAATTTCCATATTCTATGGATTTTCAACTCGTTTTTCAATAATATTTGATTTTATTTTTTTAATCATATTTGGATTATTTCGCCTCGAGTTGGGTTATAATATTTATTTGCATGTTTTATATATTTATAGAACAATAACAATAGCCCCAGCTAATTACCACTATTAAAAACAATAGCCAAATATTTCAAAACACACTTCTAGGTACTGCAGAACAAACGGTAAACATCGAAAGTCCATTGCGGCCGGCTAATCTCTAAAAGTCAATTCATTGATAAAAAAAAACCATTCAAAACCAAATATTTAATAAAAATTAGCGGCGTATTAAGAATTGATGCTTAGTCACGGTGTGATTTGTCACGTCGTCCGCAACCCACATCAAGTCCATAAGTCAATGTCATTTAAATGCAAAACCAAAACAAACAAAAATGAAATATCGGTCAAGTGCAATTTTGGAAAATCAAATCTTAGAATTTAGGGAGGAGAAAGGGGACAGGTTGGAATGGTGTGATAGCCATACAAATAATTGAAAATTGCATGATTTTTATAAACAAAATATTGTTGTTGCCTTATGAAAAATATAGTTTATATTTTATTGTTGTTGATTTCGTTTTGCATGAGCGAACGATAAGCACAGTGTGGTGGTGGCTGCTGCCACCGGCCCAATGTGTGTGACGTGAATCCCGGTTGCTGGCTGGAAGGCTGGCTGATGTAAACAATATTCAATAAACGATGTGATGCACATGTTTACAATAATCTAGAATTGTTTGGGTATCGAGACAATTTTGTTGTTGTTTTATTATATTTTTTTTTGTTATTATTTATTATAAAGTTGTTTACATACGCGGGGTATAATGATGCGGTTATTTTCCCCATTAAAACGACCCCCCACATTGCGGTATTGGAAATTAATTTGAGATGTAAAAAATCAATGCACTCTAAGAAATTAAAAAAAATAAATTTTAATTCAAAAACAAATTTAAAATTTGAAAATTTATTTCTAATCAAAATTTTGTTTTATTTCCTTTTAGAATCTGGCCCGCCGTACTGAGACAAGCAACATATGGCACCATCAAATTCGGTACCTATTATACCCTGAAAAGTTTGGCAAGTGAACAT